CAGCCCTTCTGATGTCTGAGCTGGAGTAACCATTCGCCTGTAGAGCCTAGTCTAGGTGCATCAATTCCTCTTCCAAGAAGTGGGGTTCACAGATGCATTTTGCCCGGTCTGCTTCTTTTTTGTCCTGGGTGATGGTTGGAGTTCTTGCGCAGATATGTGTTGGTTTTCTGTATACTGTGAGACCCAGACGTTGGTTTGGTTTGCGGATGACTAGGACATCCAGGAACGGCAGTGTTCTTTCCTTTTCTTTTTCCATAGTGAATTGGATGTTAGGGTGGATATTGTTCAGGTGGTTCAGGAACTCAGCCAGATCTTCTTCTCCATGGCTGCAAATGATGAAAGTGTCATCCATGTATCGGAACCAAGTTGTGGGCTTTTTTGGTGCTATTTCCAGGGCTTGTTTTTCAAAGTGTTCCATGTAGAAGTTTGCGATCACTGGGCTTAGAGGGCTTCCCATTGCTACCCATCTCTCTGCTCGTAGAATCCACTGTCCCACTGGAAATAGCTTGTGGTGAGGCAATATTCGAACAGGGCTGTGATGTCCTCTGGAAAAAATTGTCGGATGAGTGTCATGGTGTCCATTATGGGGACTTTGGTGAACAGGGAGACCACATCAAAGCTTATTAGTATGTCTCCGGGTTTAATTTCAAGGTTATTGATTTTTTTTCCTATGAAGTGAGTTGAGTCCTTGATGTAGTGGGGGGTTTGCCCTATATGGATTTGTAATTGTGTGGCCAGAAACATGGCAAAATCATATGTGGGGGATCCAATAGCACTTACTATGGGTCAGAGTGGAATGGAATCCTTGTGGATTTTGGGAAGTCCATATAGTCTTGGTGGGAGAGCCTCGCATTTACACAAACTTTGTCTTGCGGTTGGCTGAACTGAGGAGTTTTTTTGATCAGGGTGTTCATTTTCCTGGTGCTTTTGTTGGTTGGGTCTTGTTTCAGTTTTTTGTATATTGTAGGATCCAGGATTTCCCCGATTTTTTGTTTGTATTGTTCTGTTTCCATGATTACTGTGGCATTGCCTTTATCTGCTGGGAGAATGATGACTTCTGGGTTAAAGTGAGGTCTTTGATGGCTTTAATTTCTTTTCTGGTTATGTTGCTGGGAGGTGGTTTTGCCTTGCGCAGAATCCTTACCATTTTTCCTCTTATCTCTTCTGTTTCGTCCTCTGGGAGATGGTGGAGTGCAGATTCTACCTGGACAATGATGCCTTCAACAGGCATTCTGGTGGTGGTTACTGCAAAATTGCCTCCTTTGGCCAGGATGGATGTCTCCTCTTTTGAAAGTTGCCGTTGTGTGAGATTGATGATAGTCCGTGATGTATCCAGTGAGGGTTTCAGCTGGTGCTTATGGCATTAGTTGAATTTTTGTTTTTGTCTTTTGGTGTGGTCTGCCATATTTTTTTCCATTTTCCTGTAGGTGAGGCTGTCAATTTTGTCCCAGTCTTGATTGTTCATCTTTTGACTGATGCTGAGGTGGAGTGATAGCAGTTTCTTGTGTTGGCCAGTTCTTTGCAGGTGGTATGTATTCTCTGCCATAACAGAGCAATTTCCCAAGCTTTGCTAATTCTCTAGTATCACAAACTTGGCTGTCTGGAGAAAATGGAATGTGTGATGGGACCAGGAACCAAGCTTTGACCTGCAATAAACTGCAGTATAGTGAATGGGTGGGATAGTTAACCCCTTCTCTTCTCTCAGATTATACACCTGAATCCATTGAAATGTAATGGGTGGCATTCTCTCCAGCTAGTCTGGAACATCTAATCATTTCTGTACCCTTAAGGTGTTAAATAAATTCCACATTGGTGCTGCTGCCACACTGCAGAATTAATGCAGTTTTACACTGCTTTAACTGCCATGGCTCCATCCTATGGAATCCTGGGATTTGTTGTTTATTGTGGCATCAGAGCTATCTGACAGAAAAGGAAAAACAGCTCACAAAATTGCAAACTCCAGAATCCCATAGCAGTCAGCCGTTGCAGTTAAAACTGCATTAATTCTGCAGTGTAGATGCAGCCTGGGACACCTGAAGAAGCAGACCTTTTCCAGATAGTTAGCCAGATGTACCAATTGTTGAACACATACTTGGATTTATTCTGAGAAGCCCTTAGCAAAGTGTGCAAATGCAGAAAAATGTGCACCAGCTGTTGACCCTGAATGGAGCTGGAGGCATGAAAAATAGCAGACTAACCAGCTCCCAGCTCGGAAAAACATGCAATACATAGAGGTGTGGCTGGGAAGAAACAAGGTGCATTTCCCCTGTGGCAGAGTTGTTTCACGTGCTTTTTGCTACATCTAGCAGTGAAAAATGAGCCTTTCAAAGAATTCCTACACTCCTTCCAGATGTTTATGGTTTGCTAAGGAATGAAATTGGGATGGTTCCTTTGCACACTGTTATGTGCTCAAAAAGAAGGAAGAAGGATTGTTAAAGGTAGCAGAGCTTTGGGTTTAGGTTTGTATGGAAGTTTAAAAGGGCTTATTTTTGCCTGGCAATCAATTTATGTGGCCAAAAAGGTTCTGAGGTATTGCGTTTTACTGCAGGGACACTTGGAAGTGACAAGGATTCTGCTGTGACAAAGAGTGCACCACACAACCTGCATGCATATTTTAATATAGAATATATCATGATGAACATAGATTGCTTCCACTCCAGAATCTGTATTTTAATAGCAACCTCACAGATATAGAAAAGCAATGGGGAAACTTTCTTCTAGCATTGTTACGTGTTGATCGTGATGTAACGAAATAAGTTCTGGTGGAACTCAAAGCTTCCAGAAGTCACACAAGTCATTGAATGTGATCCACATGTGAACAATCCCACTCACATGTGATCTCAAAATAAATGGGCCTGTTTCTGGAAGGCCCCAGAGCATGTTGGAGAGTATATCCAAACAACAGCATCAAAAAGATCAAGGAGCTATTAAAACAAGTCTGGGGTAAAGTTGGCAAGAGGTATCAATCAAGTTTGTTTTATACAAACAACAACAATTAATCTTAAATTAGGAACGTCCCCTATAGCATTGTTAAATCCATTGTTGTTGTTCTGTGACTCCAAGTTGTTTTTACTTATGGCAACTAATAGTGACCTTAAGATAAATCTTATCATGGGGTTTTCTTGGCAAGATTTTTTTCAGACAGAGTTTGTTTTTGCCTTCCTTTAAGGTTGAGAGTGTGTGACTTACCTAAAGTCACCCACTGGGTTTTCATGCCTGAGCAAGGATTCGAACCCTGGTCTCCAGAGTCACAGTCCAATGCTCAAACCACTACCACCATGCTAGCTCTCTAAGTCCATTATTACAAAATAGAAAGAACATAGATCAACCATGACTCTGCCTAGAGAAGGCTGCCTTCCAAAACTCAGTGATCAAGTAAGGAGGGCATTAGTTAGAGAAGCAACCAGCTTCGGCTGATATGCCAGCTGAGCCCTTTCCTAGAAGTAAGGGATCTTGAAACTGTGGTACATGCACTGGTAATCTCTCATCTTGATTTTTGTAATGCGCTCTACTGTCCTGGATTGCGGCCAGCACACACAAACCTACGCCGATAAGAATGGCTCAACAAGGTAACTAGCTATGCAACTGGAAATAGTCCACAAACCTTGCAGGGAGTGAGAGAAAGAGCAAACCAAAAGCTAGAGCTGAAGTCAGGAATACAGGGGTCACAATAGTCAGTCCAGTCCAAGGTCAGGTCAGCCAGAGGGTAGCAATAGTAGAGTCTGTTCCAAAGTCAGGAGTCAAGGTACAGGGAGCCAGCGCAGGCAGCAATCACACCAAAAGATCATGCAATAAACTCTGGCATTGA